ATTTCCATGACCTGGAATTCTGTTTAAACAATAAAAATGGAAATCTAGAATTCAAATGTAGTATATGATTGTTGTACCAACTAGACACATCTATACATACACATAAAAAGTTAGCAAAGAAAAATGATTTCCTAGATGATGGCATAAATCTTTACTGGTAAATATGAGAATCACTAGCTGCATATGGTGATTTGACTTTAAATCAATTGAAATGAAATAAAATTGATAGTTCCATTGATAGTGCCAGGTGCAGTGGTGCACACCTGTAATCCCAGCTACTCCAAAGGCTGAGGCAGGAAGATTCAAGGACATCCTCAGCAACTTAGCAAGACACTGTCTTAAAATTTTAAAAAAATAATAAAAAGGACTGGGGATGTAACTCAGCAGTAGAGTGTCCCTGGGTTCAAGCCCCAGTACTGAAGGAAAAAAAAAAAGGGAAAGAAAAACAATTCAGGTAGTCACAGTAGCCAGTAGTCCCATTTTCAGTGCTCAAAAGGCATTTTGCAGAAAGAAATGTCAGTCAAATGTTGAGAATCATATATTCAGTCATTTCAGAGCTTCATTTCCCATAAGCTTGGAGAATTAGTTGTTTCCTTTCTCTGAGGTTGAAACATTCTTTGCAAACTTATGGGTTAGCAATGGGGAGTGTGGTCATGAAAGACTCACACAGAGGAGTGAGTCTTTGAGTACAAATAATTGGAAGAATAAAAATAATTGTTCTTTTTAAAAACTCAACATGAGTTCAAAATCTATTTTGTGTTTGCTATTTGAATTTATAAGGTGCTGCTTAACCAATACAAAAAGCCTTCTTAACCTTTTATCACTTTCCTGGCGCATTAATACCTTTGGGAGGGTGCTGTCTTTTGGTCTCTTCAAACCACTAGCTCCAAAATAAACTTCAGAAACTGAAGAGGCCTGGGCAGCAAGAGGACAGGAAATCAAAGCGGGGCCAGGATCAAAGAGGCAAACAGCTCTGTGGATCTCAGGGTGGAAGTAGAGCCTTGGCTGCTTTTTCCTGGTTTTCCCTTTAATAAACCCCCAGGGCTCCTCTGCCAGGTCTTAGGCAGGATGAGAGGGATGGACTTGAACAACAAAGAGCTGGGGAAGAGAGTACTTAGCACATGGGGAGGAGAGGCAGACCACTGTGATATTTGGGTGTTGATAACAGGAACTTGATGGGAAATGCTGAGGATGAAGAATGGGGACAGTCACCCTGAGTAGCCCCATCCTTTCTAAACTGGGCTGCTCTAAAGTGGACCTGGATCCACATAATGGTGCCTTTCTTATTTGTATTTATTGGCCCTCCCCCATTATCTTCTATTTCACTGTGTCCGTTTCAACAGATGTTACTGACAGACCAAATATGAATAATTGCCAAAACTGCTCAGCAAATCAAGTGGTAAACTAGCCCCAGTGTTAGAGAGGGGGACTCCAGATCCTAATCTCAGTGATTGCTGTCTTCAGCTAACTTTGAACTTCAGTTGGTAATCTGAAACTAGCAAACTGACATGTTTCTGAAGAACAAAATACTTTATGAAGCCTTAAATTTCACAGATTATCTAATTTTGGAAAGTAACCTACAATAATAACTTTTTAAAGTTATTGCCAAGGAGTGGGCTCTTTCCATTTTTTTTTTCTGGTTGGGGAAAAGGGTATAAAAGAATTACCAAGTATTCATTTTATGTTTGCAGCAGGGTAAATGAGTAAAGAATTTAGAACATGTATTTTATGAAAACTACTCAAACAAAAGAGGAGAAGGTATTTATATTTCAAGTAAATTGCATATTAGTCTTTTGTAGACTCTATAGTGGTTCCATCTCCCCAACCCTAGTCAATGAAAATTCCAAGCAACTTGGGAAATCCATTCCCAGAGTGATGTGTTATCTCTTTCCAGGTATATCACACTGCCTTTTCTGCTTCGATTTTGTATAATACATTTTTTTTAAGTCAAATTTCTCCCCCTTTCTCATTAGTGTTCTTTTTTCTTTTCTGGTATTTTTCCAGAATACCACATTGCATTTAGGCTTTAAAAAACCCAAAAACCAAAACAAATCAAACCAAACCAAAACAAAACAAAACAAAAAAACCCCCAAAGATTTTAAAATGTATTTATAAGCCAGTTATGGTGGTGCACACCTGCAAAACCTGGTTACTCTGGAGTTTGAGGCAGGATTGCAAGTTCAAGGTCAGCAATTTAGCAAGACCCTGTCTCAAAAAAAAGATAAAAAGGGGCTGTGAGGGGCTGGGGTTGTGGCTCAATGGTAGAGCGCTCACCTAGCATGTGCTAGGTGTTGGGTTCGATCCTCAGCACCACATAAAAATAAATATAAAATAAATGTATTGTGTCCAACTACAACTAAAATAAATAAATAAATGAATAAATAAATAAATAAACAAACAAATAAATAAAAGGGCTGGTGATGTAGCTCAGTGGTAGAGCACTCCTGGATTAAATCCCTAATACCTATTTAAACAAAACAAAAAAAGTATTGACAACAATAATAAAAGCACATGATTAAAAAAATAGCAATAAATCAGTATTGAAGTATACAAGTCTCTCCAACCACTCACTCCCCATGCCAACCCTGAGTTTCCACTATATAGGTTATTTTTTAGGCATATGCAAACATACTCAATAAGACATTAATTTAGAGAAAAAAGAGAAAAAAATGGGAGACTGAAATTTTATTCTTGTTAAGTAAGCTTCCACTGGCACACAAACCCTTGGGAAAACAGTCATAAGAAACTAATGCCTGCTTAGACAGTATGGAGAATTATCAAACTGCAAATTGAAAGATGAAATTTCTTACTTAGTTTAAAAGACAAGGAAAGACTACATTGCACGTTTGGATAGCTTCATTAAACCCCAGGAGCTTGCAGGAATGAGCAGGCACTCCACTCATCTCCCCAGGTTCATTTCCCTGGCTTTTTACAAAATAGGTAGGGTAGGGGTTCCCTCAGCAAGTGAGCCAAGTGAGCAGATGGTGGCAGAGGAATGATGCTTGAATGAAGGACCCAGGGGAATTTCCACAAAATAGGCTGAAGAATTCCTATGACCCCTGGGCAGAGTGTCTGGGTTACCCAGACTATCACTAGCTGTTAAGCTTCCACTGGCAGCCAGCAACCAGCAAGCCTCTGGTGTTCTCCTGGGGTTGACTTCCCTGTCCCTGTAGCTACAGTAATGCATCCAACACTGCAGCCTGGACCAGGAAACGAATGAGCTCCATGTTCCTGAAAGACAACAACCTTCAAGACTGAAAAGGGGCCAGGGCTTCACCCTCCTCCTAAGGGTGACTGGGAAGCTCAGTGTGACCACAGGAGTCAAGTCTGGAGGTCAGCCTAGTACTCTGGGTTCTGGGTTCTTTGGGCCTCTGCCTGGATTCTGGTGTATTTCCTGATTTGTAAATTTGGGATGAGAATGCCTACTTCACAAGAACACACATAAAGCATAGCATAGTGACATTCATACATTTTTTTTTTTGAGATAATGGATTAAAGACTAAATGAGCATAGAAAATTAAAAAGTCTGACCTCTCATCCTATACATTCTGGGCCTGATATAATAGAGGAAGGGAACTGGGAGGAAAAGGAGAGAGAGTGGGAATCTGGTGGTAGACGGACATGCAGGGAAGGAGCATGGTCAGGCTGCCTAAGAGGATCTTAAGGGCCGGAAGGGGAGTCTTAGACGCAATCTCTGACCGCCCCACCCCTATCCCAACTGGACAAGATTTAAGCCTAGAGCTCCTCTTTGCAGGAGCTCCCGAAAAACATTCTGCTTTGACCCCTGCAGTGTCCGCTCAGAATGAAAACAGCCAAGCTCTTTTGAGATTTCTATTATCCTTTTAGAATAGAGACAGTAAAGAGCCCGCTTTGAGTCAGCGACAATGAGTGAACCCTCCTGGTGGAAGCAGCACTCAGGTGCTGGAAGCCTGAGGACCTGGGCCTCGGTGCTCCTCTCCCGAGGGCTTGCACCACGATGACATTCAGGCCACGGATTTATCTTTCTATAAAGCAATTCAGTGACATCCAATTCAAGAGACATTCATTTGAGGGTATAACACTCAATAGATCTGAATGAATGAAAGAGGGGGGAAAGAAACATAAACCATAACCAAAGTACTAATCAGGATAAAATGGGAGCCTTAAATGAGTCCCAAAGGATAAAGCAAAGAATAGTTACTTCAGAAGAACAAAAACTTCATGGAGTGCCTTTTATCTACTCCTGCAGCTAGGCCTGTCTGCAGGCGGGCTGGGGGCTAGGGGGGTGGAGAGGTGGGGGTGGGGGGAAGGGGACGAGCTAAATGGGGTTGTATTGTCAACCCTGCTCAGACTCCTTATTGGCAGGCCATGCGGATATTCCAGGTAGGAGGCTAAGACCCCCCTTTTCAGGATGAGTATCCTGCCCTTCTTTGAGGTCCCTTTATCTTTTCTCTCCTACCCTCCTCGGATTCAGGATGTGTTAGGACAGGGCTGGGCTGTTTGACCAACCTGGTATAGGGTCTAGCACATAGCAGGGGGAGGAGGTAAATAAATATCTTTGATGATGACAGGGGAGACAGCAGGCAAGGCTCAAAGCCTGGCCATGTGAGTCCGAGCTGGGCCCTCGGTCGCTCTGAGGGGCCGATCTGATTCAGAGCAGGAGGTTCTGACTGCGTTTGGCCTCTGCTCTCTGGACAGCCCCTCCCGGAGCAAAGCTCGCCTCAGGGTCTTAAGATGTTGATTGCGGTGGCAGGGAGTTGGAGGATGGGCGGCGGAGGGGGCCGCGGGGGCTCCCGGCCCAAGTTCACGCCTCCCTCCCTCCGTCCCAGGCTCAACGGAAGCGATTATTCCCACCGGCGTCTGGCGGGGCTGGGGGCGGGCCCGCACCCAGAAGAGACACGGGCCTCCCCGCGCCCAACTCTTTGATGGCTCCGCTACCGCCGGCCCCCTCCCTCGGCCCGTGGGCCGGTATAACTGGAGGCGCACTGGGGTCCCAGGAGGCGCACTGGGGTCCCGGAGCGATGGCCGCAGCAGACTCCCAGCAGCTACAGTTCCCGGAGGGCGCCGCGTTCCCCGCGTACCGGTCCGCTCACGCCGGCGGGGCGCTTCTGCCTCTGCCAAGTCCCGCCGCTGCCCTGCTCCCCGCGCCCCCGGCTGGCCCCGGTCCCGGCCCGGAGAGCCGCGCTCCGGCGCCCTTCGCGGGCTTTCTGGGCAGGGGCCCTGGACCCGCCGCGCAGCCACCCGCCGCGCAGCCACCCGCCGGCCTAGGCTCACCTGCGCCCCCCAAAGGCGCGGCCGCCCAGTCGGCGTCGCAGCGCCGCAAGCGCACGTCGTTCAGCCAGGAGCAGCTGCAGCTGCTGGAGCGCGTCTTCCGCCAGACTATGTACCCCGACATCCACCTGCGGGAGCGCCTGGCAGCGCACACCCAGCTACCGGAGTCGAGGATCCAGGTGAGCTGCCCGCCACATTCACAGGTGCTCCCTGTGTGAAAGAGCAGGGAGTCAAAACCAAGATTCTTGGGCTCCGTGGGCCACACACCGGTGACCACTTACTTGGGGGACATTGAGCAAGTTGCTTTCTTTTGAGCTTCAGCGTTCTAGACTGCAATATAGGGATAATATCAGTGCGTGTTGCGTAAGGTGATTGTAAGGCTTAAATGAAATAATTTAGACATGCACGCAATGACATATCTCGTGTTAAGTATAATTAGGGCCCAGGAGGCTAGCAGGTCCCTAGAAAAGGTCAGAAATTAAATTCCCAGCAGGAAAGTGATATGGAAATAATTTTACATTTTTTTTCCTTATCCAGGAAGGCACAGATGAGGGAAGTGCAGTGGAGTCTCCCTCTGGCTTTGAGTCGGAACTCAAAATGGTAGTTGAGAGAGTGTAGGAATGGCTCACCAAGTTGCCCACTTTGTTGGCAGGTATTGGTCTGGGATTTGGGTTCAAAAGGATGTAGCATTTTGGGACAAAGCCTGAAACATTTGGAACTTCTTGTCAGTTTCAAAAATCGAGTGTAAAATGTTTATTGTCTTAAAACATTTTGATCAGAATCCTGGAGTTGGTAGGAGAAGCCTGCCTGTTTGTTTATTAGTCTGTAACTTGTTGGTCTGTCCAAGTGCAACTTTAAGTATGAGTCTTATTTAACCCTTGAAGAGTGTGGACTTGGGCTGGGGATGTGGCTCAAGCGGTAACGTGCTTGCCTGGCATGCGCGGGGCGCTGGGTTTGATACTCGGCATCACATATAAAATAAAGATGTGTGTCCACCGAAAACTGAAAAATAAATATTAAAAAATTCTCTTTCTCTCTTAAAAATATTTAAAAAAAAGAGTGTGGACTTGTTTTTTTTTTTTTTTTTTTTAATCTGTACCTCTGGCTGCTATACAATTGTCAGTTTCAACTGTTGGCAGGGAGGCTTCGGTATTCTTGGGAAATAGCAGAAAAAATGTATGCATTGAGGTGAAGTCTACTGAGCAAAATATTGATGTTATTGAAAAAGGAGTCAGACTTTCAAAAGCTGATTCTAAGTAATTTGAATGCTGATCATCTTTTTAAGTGCAGTAACATTTTTTCCTAAGAATTTTAAGTGCCTCTATTTCTTTGGCTCCCTTTTCCATTGCAAATGTCCCTATAAAAAGCATGGATAGAACCAGGCATAATTCCAGTTTAGCACTGGGGAATGCCAAGGCAGACAAAACCAGTTGCTCTGAACTTCTAACCATCAGATCAAGTGCTTTCTGAAAACCATAAAGCTCTGGAGCAGGGAGACAAGGATGTTAAACTGGAACTTCTATGAAGTATGCACAAGAACTCCAATCCAAAGCCATTTTTTTTTTCCTTCCATCTTCCAGGTATGGTTCCAGAACAGACGGGCCAAGTCACGGCGACAGAGTGGGAAATCCTTTCAACCTTCAGGGAGGCCAGAGCTTTTCCTCCACCACTCTGCTCCTGGGACTGAAACGAAATGTTTGAAGCCCCAGCTGCCTCTTGAGGTAGATGTGAACTGTCTGCCTGATGCCAGCAGGGCTGGAGGGGGCATCTCTGACTCTAGCTCCCAAGGTCAGAATTTTGAAACCTTTTCTCCTCTCTCTGAAGACATTGGTTCAAAGCTGGACTCATGGGAGGAACACATCTTTTCTGCCTTTGGTAATTTTTGAGGATTCTGGAAAAATTAAGGTTAAGCTCAGACAGATAAGACTCATGACTGACAGATCCACTCCAGAAAACCGTTTTGTCTGACTTCCATGTAAGGAAAATGTCCTTGTTAACCTTGATGATTTTGACCAGAACCTTCAATGAATCTTCACACATGGCCTGCTCTTCTTTCTCTATAGCTACTTACCTCCCCACCCAGGAATTCTGGCACTCATGTGTACCTGTGTATCTCCAAGTCTGCACATTCAATTTGGTCTGAAAACCTATGCCTTCTTGCCAGGGCTATTGTTATTTTTTGGACTGGTTGTTTAGAAATCATTTTATTTACCAGAACCCCTCAGCTTGCCTCAATTTCCCCTTGACCCTGACAGCTGCCACCTTCTCATGGTCCTTTTCCAAGGCTTATAACCTTAAGCTCACTCTAACCCATCTCCTCTATCCTCATCCTATCACCAAGATTTATTACTTTAAAAAAATGAGTATTTTATTTTTTAAATTGCTATGTAAAAATTGTATTTATGGCATACAATGGTGTTTTGATATATGTATATGTTGTGGAATGGCCAAATAAGCTATTTAACATGTGTTACCGCACATCCTTAACATTTTGGAGTGAAAACACTTAAAATCTACTCTTAGAAGTTTTCAAGAACACAATATATTAACTATAATCATGATATACAATAGATTTTTTTTGATACTGGGGATGGAACATGGGTGTTGCCCATGCTAAACAAATGCTCTACCACTAAGCTACATGTCTAACCCTATAATAGATCCATTGAACTAGTTCTTCCTAAATGAAATTTTGTGTCCTTTGACCAAAATCTCCCTGATCACCTCTTTTGTTTTCATTTGGCCTGTCGTCTTCATATCCAATCATTAATGACTCCACATCCAGATTATTTCAAGGGCCTCTAGCTTCTCACTTAGGTAAAATATATAACTCTTTTTAGAAATATGAAGGAACCTCCAATTGCTATCAGATTATTAAGTCTTTTCACTCTCTTTGATAACTGATGTCATAGTTAGCCTACAGGACAGCTATGCAAACCTTCTTCAGGTTATCTGTAATGTGTGCCTCTGTGTCAGTCATTTCTTTTGATTTAGGACTAATACCTTTCTATTTCAAAATATTTGAGACCTACCCTTTCAGAAACCTGACACTGGAATCTGATTTTTGTACCTATTTTTGTGATCGCTTCAACATTACCCTTAGCACTTGTTATTGTATTGCCTATGCAACTTCAGTGGATTATTAAATGCTTTTCACAAATGTCCCAATGGAATTTCTATTTAAATGAACTCTGTCCTTTAGATAGATAGCTCTTAGACTTTCTGAACAATTGCTCAATACATATTAAAATTGCCATGAAAAACATTTCTAAAGAATAAGTTTCTGCAAATATAGCCACTAATTGTTATCATAGGCTACTATGTTGAGAAATTTTAATCTGGTTTAAAAAAAAAGTATATTTTTGCTTGTTTCAAGTTTAGTAATATTTAGGAATATTTTGGCTTAGGGAGATTTCTTTTCCAATTTATAATTTTTAGTGTATGTAAATGAGTTTCTAAGTTAGCCCAATAGCAATAAAAATATTGTATTGAGATTTTGAGGTTTCAGACTCCTTATGGACAAAGTGTCTATGATGTGACGACAGGTAAGGTTTCCCTGTAAATTTGCTTTGTAGAAGGCAGCTCCTGGAAAACCATGGCAAGGGGTCAGAACGTCATGTCTTTATTGTGAGCCTGAGCTTACTTGAACTCTCAGTGTCTTAGGTTGCCCTTTCAGGGATGTTCAAGTTGTTTGTAATTTTCAGAGTAGCAAATTGGTTGAGTGCCCCTGAGTTCAATCCCTGGTTACCCACCCCCACAAATAACAACAACAACAACAACAACAAAAAAAAAAAAAACAAACAAGGAGGGGATGGGGATATGGTTCACTGGTAAAGTGCTTCCCTAGCATGAGTGAGGCCCTGGGTTTGAGAACCAGCACTGCAAAACAACAAAACAAAACAAAAATCCAAGGAGCTATGTGGAGTGGCACACACTTGTAAACCCAGCAGCTTCACCAACTCAGCAAGACCCTGTCTCAAAATAAAAAATCAGGACCAGGGATGTAACTCAGTGGTAGACCACCCCTGGGTTCAATCCCCAGTACTGGGGTATATGTGTCAGGAGAAGAAACCAAGGAAGTTCAGGCTTAGTAGCAAAAGGGACTTCTGAACCTTTTGAAAACTGAAACAAAAAGTGAGGTAATAAATATTAGATTGTATAAGTACTTACTTTGTGCCATGTAGCGTGCTCAGGGCCTACCCTGGCAGGGCTGGGAGGTCTCACAGTCACAGAGCATCATATTTAAACCTGTGTCATGGTCAAAAGAGATGGTACCAATACATTCACAAGACTGAAAGATATCTCATAAAACACTTTAAGCTTATGATCCACTAAGAATCTCATTCAAAAATAAAACTTGTGGGCTGGGATTGTGGCGCTTGCCTAGCACGGACGGACCCAGGTTTGATCCTCAGCACCACATAAAAATAAAGGCATTGTGTTGTGTCCAACTACACCTAAAAAATAAATATTAAAAAAAATAAATAAAACTTGTAACTTATTAATTGCATTACCTTGTGAATATTATATTGTTTACTTAAATGAGCAATTAGGAAAAAAATCTACAAATATTTAAAATCATGGATCCTCTAAGAACATAAGTAGTCTGCACATCTCTCAGGGGCTCTAACTGCTAAATGTGTTGCTAGCGTTATATATTTAATACTCATACATAATGTCTAATATAGGGACTATTCTTCCCATTTTAAAGAACAAGAAACTCAATTTAAGTAGTGGTTCGAAATCACAAGGGCTTGTGAATATCAATGGCCAGGACTCAAACCTAGGATTAATTCAACCCACCATTTAGCTTTTACCATATAATACCTTCCTAACCATTAGTTAGGACTAATAGGTGATAGATTTAAAAACACCTCAAATCATAATTTCTATATGCAAGTTGATGTTGTCTCATCTTTCAAAGTAATCAAAAAAACATTCTCTTACTCTAATAAAAATAATGTTGCTTAGAGCTCTTTGGACACTTGTTTGTTCATTATGCAAATATTTGGTGCTTACAAACAGACACTTTTTTGGGGGCTGGGGTTGTGGCTCAGTGGTAGAGTGCTTGCCTAACATGCACGAGGCACTGGGTTTGATCCTCAGCACCACATAAGTGTAAAATAGCCAACAAAAACTAATAAATAAATAAATAAAAAAAAAACAGACACTTTTTCAGGAGCTGGAAATAAAATAGTGGGGAAAAAAGAAAACTCTCAGAGAAATAGTCCCTTCTCGTCATGGAGCAAAGAGGCCAGGATGGAGACAAAAGACCACTCCAGGAAATAGAAAACTGCAAATATTACAAATGCTGGAAGGAGAGGTATGCAATCTCGAGACTCTATGACAGATGCTTATTGGGGTCAAGGAAAGCTTCCTTGAGAAAGTGATGCTTAAGGAAAGCTCTGCAGGATGATCAGGAGCAACTGAGGACACAGAACAGAAGCCATGCATATGCAAAGGACAGGACAGAGAAATAGGTCTGGGAGGCAAGATCATGTGTGGCTTAGTCAGTTTTTTTTTTTTTTTTTTTTTAATATTGGGGATTAAACTCAGAGGCACTTAACCAATAAGCCACATCCCCAGCTGGTTTTATATTTTATTTTGAGACAGGGTCTAAGTTGCTTAGGGCCTCGCTGAGGCTGCCTTTAAACTTGCAATCCTCCTGCCTTGGCCTCCCAAGCCACTAAGATTACAGGTATGCACCATTGTGCCTTGCTGCTTTGTCAGTTTTATGAGTTCTGAATTTGTCTTTAAAGTTCTGACTTTAAAGATGTTTATAGAAAGGGAATAACATGACCTGTTCTACATCTTAAGATATCCAAAGAGTGATGATGGCAGTGGGCTGTGAGTAATGGTGGTGATAAAGGTGGAGAATAGTTTTGAGAGAGAAAACTTATTAAAAGGTAAATCTCTTTGTAGATTCCTAATGGTAACAAGGGAATATGACTTTAGGAACTAGCTTAATGTAATTCAGAACCACATCTATTTAAGTAAAAACCCTGTATGTGCTTGCTTGTTTGCCCAATCTGACTTTTGATAGCTTTCTATGGACTCCATAAAGGTGTTAAGTGGGGACAGCATTATTCAAATCAGTGTATAGTTGACTCAAAATGACTGCTTTGAGTTGTATCTATTTCTTCTTTCCTAAACAAAAATACAATTCAACTATATTACTAGACACAGTCTCTATTTTCAACATTGAAAGACAAATGGTGCTTAAATATGTGTAAAATGAATTATTATTAAGTGACAAGTGAACCTTAAAGAATATAAAAGAAAAATATAAAAAATACTTCCCAATTCTAGGCAGAAAACATTGAATCAACTTTGACTAGGTCTATACTAGGCCAGTAATTTATTTGCTTAATATTTCCACAGAGATTTACTCACAGATGGAAAAAATCCCTCCCTAAAATAATACTAGATGTAGCCTACTTCAAAGTGGCTTGGTAGAGCCAGGCACAGTGGCAAGTGTCTCTAGACCCAGCTACGCAGGAGGCTAAGACAGGAACATTGCTTGAGCCCAGGAGACACCATGGACAGCATTAGCAAGATCCCTTTTCAAAAGAAGAAAAAGCTGGGAATGGAGCAGGGTACAGTGGTGCTCGCCTGTAATCCCAGCTACTGGGGAGACTGAGATAAGATGATCCCAAGTTCTAATCAACGTTTGGGCAATTTAGCGAGACCCTTTTTCAAAAAATAAAGAGTTGGGGTTGTGGCTCAGTGGTAGAGTACCCTTGGGTTCAAGCCCTAGGACTGAATAAGACAAATAAACAAGTAAAGACTTGATAATTATTCTGTATTGTTTCCCCTACAAACTTAATTCTTCAAGATTTTAAAATAGAGGGAATACCTATCAATTTGTATTGAATGAGAATGTAGATAATATTAATTTTCATAGATCAATTTATTTAGAATTACAAATATTAAGAATAAAAGATTTATGCATTTCTTAATTAACATAACAGTTTAGCTAAATATAAACTCTGCACTAAAGTTTTGCAATGGCACAATACCAACAAAGAATACAGAAGCATTTTTAAACTATACAAAAATTTCAAATGGAAAATAATCTTCAGTTTTATTGTACATTAACATATAAAAAGTCTCATCTTATGAGACCATCTAAAAGAATCAAAACCACATCTACAGCTATGTCTTAAACTCCAAATTTGAAAACAATTTATTATATTTTGACTTTATAATATTCTATATTAAAACAAAGAAAAATTAAAATACATACTTTTTACAAAGTTAACATTTTAGGCAGGGTTTTCCTTAAAAAAGAAAAACAAAAAACAAACAAAACAATCAACCCAAACCAAACCTTTCTTCTGTACTTCACAACATTGATGATTTTGTTTTCTTTATAAAATATTTTTACTTTATAAATTGTGTATTGTTGGATTTTTAACCAGTAATCTGGTTTAAAAGTTGTGCAAAATAAACAAAAATATGAAAATAGTGTGTTATCAGTCTTTTTTTCTCTTTTAATAAATTTCATAACAACAGCACTTTTTGCCCTGAATTGACGGGAAAGACATGCCAAATCCACTTGTTGAAATTTAGCATTTTGCAGTAATGTTTTTTTCCTGCTCCTTCATTTTCTTTCAACAGACAAACAACAAAAGATTCTTTTATAAATTATGATAAATTAAATATTTATTATTATAAAATGATTTATAGAACCATGTCACATTGCAAGTATGTATCACATATACTTGTAAAGTCCATATTTTCCATCTATATTCCAGTGGCTTCCTGAAAACTAGGACTTCCCACACCTTCCGATGTTATCTTTTGAAGACCAAGACGGTGATCAACTAAATCCACTAGAGTGGTAATTTTCCAGATGGAATTTCCACATTGCCACCATTACATACAAAAAGACCATGTCTCTTCATGTTCTCCATTGCAGTAGTTGTCTGCATGTGCTGGGTTGAATTCATGCATATTTTAAAAAATGGTGAACATAGTCTTCCATGAAACTATATTATGTTCAGATATTTTCAGTTTAAAAATACTTGCTAATAAACATACGTAACACAAGCAATGCTACTGCATTTGAATAATAAAAGAAAAATAAATATATGCTGGTCAGCAATGCTGGTTTAAGAAGCAGTACAGTATATTAAAATGACTTATTTGGAGAT